GCAGAAACAGAATTTTATGTAGTGTGCTTATTAAAACCATGCTTGTGTTGAAGAAAAGGATAACTGTTTAGAAAAAATTTGACATGAACTCCATGAATGAAAATAATAATGATGATATTTTAAAAAAGCATATTCAGATGCTGTTCTCAAAAGTTAACAATATATACTGGCCACTCCACTGACTGAAAAGCAGACAAAACAGCCAGCATTCACTTTAAATTCGGTTAGCTGGCACTTTTATTAGATCAATCAAGACTGACCTGAAAGTGCAAATAAACTTGGGAGGGGGTGGTGGAGCTCATTAATGTCTGTGCAACTGATTGAAAAGATACTTGAAAATATACGATTATTTAACAAAGGGGGGGCACCACTACAATATGGTATGAGCAGAAGAAACCCCTGTTGAATAACTAGTCAAATAAAGCCATGCAACAAAAAATATCTTGGTAAAGCTCAAGCAAAGTGATTTTAGTATTCCCAGCAGAAACAATGAAGAAAGGCAACTGCAGGTAGGGGCCTCCTGTCAAATTCACTGAGACACAAGACATTAAGAACAGTATAACCTATATGTGAAAAATATAAAATGGAAGGCAGGAAGTTGTTTTCAAAACAGAAAGAGGGGAAATGAAACAACATTTCCTACAAAAGTGGAGAAAGTTAGTTAAGTGTATCGGAAGCAGTTAATTGGCAGAAAGAGGGGGAAATGAAACAGCATTTCCTTAAAAAGTGGAGAAAGTTAAGTGTATCGGAAGCAGTTAATTGGAAATGAGACAAATTTTAAAAAGTGGGAGAGTGCCAAAGATCCATATAACACACTTGAGTGGAATGAAATAGTGGAAGCATTATTAAATTAAATTAGATTGGAATAGAACAAGAATTTTAAACCAGTAATAGGTGTACATTTATTGAACCAAACTAAGAAACATATAATACACAGATTCCTACAGTGTCAAAAATATAGTTCATTTTGATGTCAGTAATTTGATGCATGTGTGTCACTACTGATCACCTGAAAATGTCAGGGCTGCAAAAGTGTTGATAATAATGGAAATGCCATACATCAAGATTTTTGCCAAATCTCTCAACTGTGGAGTCCCTTCTTTCACCAAGTTCACTACAGAATGCTCACCAGAAAAACAGTGCACATTCTTTTGTAGGGGTGAATTTTAAAAAGTCTACCATAATAGTGAATATATTATTTTCAGATTCCAGAAATAGGGTATTATAACAAACCTATATTCTGAAAAACAGTTTATACAATATTAAAACTTAATATGGAATTCTATTTAATATATATATCGTAAGAAGGGTGAGGATATAATAGAAATAGTAAGATGAGAATAACCTAGTCATTAAGGAATTCTTTTAAAAATGATATACATTTGCTGTATCTAGCTATAGAAGTGGTTAATTTGTTTAAGATCACAAAAGCAGCATAATCAGATAATGCACATATTCTTTCCCAGATATGCAGAGTAATCCTGGTTTCTAAATTGACGAAAAGAAAATGAGACCTCTGTCCCATACACCCCAAATTCCTTATGAGGATTGAATATATTCTAAATGGACCAAAAATACAAAGGTACCCCTGCAACCAATACAACAAATCCCTTACAAGGATAGAATATATTCTAGGAGGCATGCAACTTTGAGATTTGTTGAATTAAAGGGGGGGGGGATGTTCTAAAGAATGTATTTATCCAAACCATCCCCCCCTCAATTTTTTAAATATACATACAAGGAATAGGATTGCAAGGAATAAAATAATCATTGAATCAAAACAGGAGTTCTTATAAAGGACCAAACTAATAGTACCAAACAATAGTTTATGGGAAAAGAGGTAGAAGGAAGGGGGGGAAATCATAGAATCAGTGATGCAGTAGGATGGGCACAGTGAGAAAGTGGATTAAGTAAATCTTCCAAGATCATCTACCTTACAAATCTTTGATGATATGGAGGCTGCAGTTTACTTACCTGGGTGATGAAACCATAGAAACTCACTTCCAAAAGATTGACTCAGAAAAAGAAAAGTGACAAAGTATGGACAGAAAAACAAAGACAGAAAGGAGAAGCGAGGTGTGCCACAGATGAAGAATAACACCCTTGCAGTGGATGAAGAGCATTGTTGAAGGTGGATGGTTGTGTATAAGAACATGAGAGATTGATATATATGGTTGTGAATCACACCCTGCTTTGGAGATGTGCCAATTACACAAGGACAAGAAACTTTTTATATGAACTTTTCTTGGCCTCAGCTTATTTTCTCCTTCCTTCTTTTGTCTTACTTTTGCTGGAGCAAACTTCTACCACCACAACACACATTGAGAATTTATATATACACACACATACACACCCTGAGAGCAATAGGGCAATAACTCCCATTTTTGTATATATATATATTTTTTGTGTGTGTATTGCTTTCAATATATATATATTGAAAGAAATTGGAATTATTGCCCTATTGCCATCAGTGTTGTGTGTACAAATATAGCAAAAGTGCGAAGGGTAGAACAGAAAGAAAGAGGGACAAATGTCAAAAAGAGATAAAACACACACACACACAAAGAAAAATGAAAAGCAACCTAGAACAAGGATCTCAAACTCAGAATCTCAGCCATCAGGTCCTTAGCATAATTCTGTACAGTGTTAGTCCAGTGTAAAACATTTACAACTGGGTGTCTTAGGCTGAAGTAATTCTGAACAGGATCACACAGTCTTTTCATTCCCTAGGCCCTTGTGATGGCTCACTCAAAGAAAATTGATGTCTCACACATTTAGTGCCATATAATAAAGATGACCGGTGCTTACCTCAACAGTTATCTAATAAGGTTTTGCTTCGTCACCAGATCCACAGTATAGTCCTATACAGAATTACTCATCTTAAAATATTAAAATCAACTTGTTTGAAGTGGAGCATCTCTGAATAGAACTGCACCACTACTCATTTAACTCTCTGAAGTCCTGTGAAGGCTCATCCAAAGAGATGTGTTGTCTGCCACGTTTGGTGCTCTATAATGCAGATGGTCAGAAACAAGTGTTCTAATTCATTTACTCAACAGCTATCTAATGAGGCTTCACTTGGCCATATGACTCTACTCTGACCAGCTTCAGCCTGAACCATTTGTCTACTAAATAAAGAACATACTGTTCCCAAACAGGCCAACAAGGCATGACAGTCCTTTAATTTACCTTTTTCTGTTCCAGACTAGCTTCACCACATACATTGCTGTCATTCATAATTATGCCTCCTCTATATTGAAGGCTCAGATGAAATAATAAAAAGTGGTCTCTTTTGGAAGGTAGCCTGGTGACATAAAAACAGTGACTTTACATATCTTGAGGGACATCTAGCTGCTGGAAAATGTCAATTAGAGCTATGTCTTCCATGCTAGGAAGAACAAAATATGTTCCTGATACCATATGGTATTGGAAGACAAAGGCATAAGAGTGATATCTACTACTGCTTGGTATTAAATGTTACCCAGACCGCCACCATGCACCTCAGGGCTTCATACACATCTGGAAAACATAGCTCAATAATAGAAGAAAGCTGGAGAATTTAAGTTGTAGGGTAGATTTATTTTTTGCATAAGTTTGTGGTAGTTGAACTAGGGTTGCCAACCTCCAGGCAGTGGCTGGATATCTCTCGCTAGTTAGTTTACCTGAAGAAAATGACTGCTTTGGGAGATGAACTCTATGACATTATATCCCACTCAAATCCCTTCCCTCCTCAAACTCTGCCCTCCTCAGGCTCCACCTCTCAAAATTTCCTGATATTTCCCAACCCAACCCAAGCCTAAACTGAACAGAACAAAGGAAACAGAAATTAAAAAGAGTCTGGATTTCAGAATATGTACCAGATTGTACTTTGTAGTCAGGGCAAAGAGGGATGGTGGATTTCAGAGCAGAAACAAGCATTTCAGAGCAGAAACAAGCATTTCCATGCATTTAATTGATTCTTTCTTTTTTAGGGTGCCCATGTAAACCCTGAGGAAATTACCTCTCAAAATTTCCTGATATTTCCCAACCCAACCCAAGCCTAAACTGAACAGAACAAAGGAAACAGAAATTAAAAAGAGTCTGGATTTCAGAATATGTACCAGATTGTACTTTGTAGTCAGGGCAAAAAGGGATGGTGGATCTATTCCTTATTTTATGAAAGCATTTCAGAGCAGAAACAAGCATTTCCATGCATTTAATGGATTCTTTCTTTTTTAGGGTGCCCATGTAAACCCTGAGGAAATTGGGACATCATGATGCACCTTGCTGTTGGAAGACATACATATATTGCTAATGAAGCATGAGAAAAAGCAACAGCCTTCATGCTTTCTCTGTCCTTGGCTGCCCTGTATCAATCGGAACATTCAAGAAAAAAAGTGAAAACATAGGGCTGGTATCTGTCCGCATGTCCATTACTTCAACCAAAAGAGCCCAAATGAAGAAAGTGGACTTCTATACATCAGTAAAAACAGAAACTTCACAAACACCTGCTTCCTACTCACCACTTTCTTCAGGGCTCCCCCAACCTCCTTGTTCCATATGATGTAAATCATTGGATTCAGAAGTGGGATGACTACCGCATAAAAGAAGGATACCACCTTGTCCAGCTCAGAAGCAGTAGTGGAGATGGGTCATGCATATGTGGATTGTGTCATAGAAAATGACCACAAAGTGAGGTGTGAGCCACAAGTTGAAATACTTTCTGCCTCCCACTAGCTGAAGGGATATGCAGGATGGTGGAGATGATGATGTATTTATTTATTTAGTAATTCATTTATTTTATTCAATTTATATCCCACATTCCCCTCATGGCAGGCTCAGGGTGGATTACATCAGATTTGATAAAAACACAATATTAAAACACTAGTAAAAAACCACAATAACCTTCATTGGGTGCAGTTGTCATTAAAATTAAGACCTCACAGATGCCATCTCTGGTATGCAGTTCTGACCCGCTGAGGAGTGGCCCAGTAAAAAGGGAGGGACATCTGTCATCCTACTTAAAAGTCTGGAGGAAGAGCTTCATTTTGCAAGTCCAGAAGGGCCCTGATCTCATATGGGAGCTCATTCCACCAGGTAGGTGCCATGGTGTAGGATACCATGATGAGTGTACAGGTGCTGACGATGACCATGGAGGCCAACACTGTCACAAGTGTTGAGCTGAGAAAGGCAGAACCACATGAGTGCCTCAGCAGGGGCCCAGCATAACAGAAGAAATGGTGGATTTCCTTAGGCCCACAGAAGGAGAGCTGAGAAATGAGGACAATAGGAACCAAGGGGGCGAGGAATCCAGCCACCCAGGCTGCTGTCACCATACGGGTACTTATTTGCAGTGTCATAAGGGTTGGATAATGCAGAGGGCAGCAGATAGCCAAGTAGCCATCATAGGCCATAGTCACTAACAAGAAACATTCAGTGGAGCCCAAGGCAAAGAAAAGGTAGAGCTGGGAGATGCAGCCTGCCACAGAGACCGTACTCCCGCCAACCAGGAAACTTTCCAGCATCTTGGGCACAGTGGATATTGTGTACCAAATCTACATGAAGGAGAAATTACCCAGGAAGTAATACATGGGGCGCTGCAGTTTATGATTTGTCTTAATGAGTGAGATGATGATTACGCTGGCAGTTACTGTGAGAATGTAGGTGGCCAAGACTAGAACGAAGGACAGCGTGCGGATCTGTGGAGAAGCAGAAAACCCAGGATGATAAAACCATTCACCACAGTCCTGTTGGCCGATCCCATATCAACATCTTCTCTGGCCAGTGAAACAGCCTTAGTCCATTACTCTAACCCCTATACCACACTGTTTACCATTTGTCAGACATCCACTGGTGGACAAAATTGAAAATAATGATTGCCAATATTTATCAGGGTGAATCTGATCTTTTGCAAGCTTATTCATAGGCCACTCTTAAGCTACATTTCTGCATAGGGGAGGAGGATATTATGATTCAAAAATTTTGGTACTTTGGCCTTTGCCCCCATTCTTATGAGGTAGCATGAGCTGCTATTATTTTGGAAATAGGACGATCAGTAAGCCCCCTTAGTTTCTACAGAGCCAGTTTGGTGTAGCGGTTAAGTGCGTGGACTCTAATCTGGGAGAACCCGGTTTAATTCCCCACTCCTCCACTTGCACCTGATGGATGGCCTTGAGCAAGCCGTAGTTCTGGTACAGCTGTTCTTGAAAAAGAGCTATTTCTGTCAGAGCTCTCTCGGCCCCACCTACCTCACAGGGTGTCTGTTGTGGGGAGAGGAAGGAAAGTTTGTAAACTGCTCTGAGACTCCTTTGGGTAGTGAAAAGTGGGGTATAAATCCAATCTCTTCAACTTCTTCTACAGTGTGAAAGGTACTGACATATAATAATCTCATTTCCCCTTTCCCTTTTATAAAAGGCACCCTCTTGGTGTCTGTGTGTATTAGGGAATCAGCTCTCAGGTGTTCAGTGTAGGTTATTTACATTTTTACATTTTTTACATTATTTTGTATTCAATAAAGCTATTTGTTTATGTTTAAAATCACTCCCACTCTCTTCATAATTTTACTGTAGGGTACCTTTACTAAGATCCACCCTGGTATACATAAACCAAGTGTCTGTGTTATTCCTTTCTGGAACCATTTTAAAGCTCATTTATCTTTCTTTGGGTTGAGCTTGGATAACAGTATGTTCCGTTGGTCCTGACAATCCAGCAGGTAAATAATTTATGCTGTCCAGTACATCATTTGGGCATAAGCGGGGGGTCTAGTTCTGAATCCCAGATTTCTCTTTGCATTTACCTTTCTAGCTGTGTGGCTTCCATGGGCAAGTACCATCCCTGTAGAAACTACATGTGGAACAACAGAAACGGACAGAAATGTTCATGGATAGGCCTAACTGGCATATGTCATTTTATGATGGCATGTACAGCAACAACAAGAACAACAACCACAAATGAACTCTTCATCTGAAAAATGTAGCCAATGCAGAAAGATGGTGGAAATTTTTGTATGTGTGTGTCTGCATCTATGCATGCCTGTGCCTGGAAGTCATGGCAATCTCTGGCGACTCCTCCTGGGGCATTGAGGACATTCAGAGAAGGGGCCCAGGTATTTTTTGGAGGTCTCCCATCCAATTACTTGCCGGGGTTGTCATGCTTAGCTTTCGAGATCTGATGAGATCAGTCTGGCCTGAGCTATACAGGTCAGGACAATGGTGGAAATATTATTTATGGGGAACTGACAGAAACAACTTTGTTATCGGAACATTTTCCAATAGTAAATAGCTACTACCAATAAATGCATATCTGGTAAGCAACTGTTGCTGCGGGGTGTGTGTGTTTGTGTTAGGGAATCAGTTCTCAGGTGCTTAGTGTAGGTTCTTTACACTTTTACAACTTTTATTTTATTTTGTATACAATAAAGCTACTCGAATGTGTCTAAAACCACTCTCACTCTCTTTCTTCATAATTTTATTGTGGGGTACCCCTACCAAGATCCACCCTAGTATACATAGACCAAGGTCTCTGACGAAAACAACAGCTTCTGATTCTGACTCTCCTCTACTTTGTCACCTGCCATCTGGAAACCAGCCTTCAGTGGCTTATCTAACTTGGTCTTTCCTGCCTAAATTTCTCCTTAATGCTTCTTTCACTTCTTTATTTCTTAAGCAATAGATGAGGGGATTGAGAGCTGGAGTGATCACAGCATAGAAGATGGACACTATTTTGTTGAGATTAAAGGGGTGAATTTTTCTGGGCCGAGCATACATGAAGACTGTTGTTGAGAAGAAGATGATGACCACAGTAAGATGTGAGGCACAGGTTGAGAAGGCTTTCTTCTTTCCATGAGTTGTGGGGATACGAAAAATTGAAATAATGATGAACAGGTAGGACAGGACTGTGATGGAGAGAGGGATTAACAGGATGACCAAAGCCAAAATGAAATCCACCAGCTCAGCCACTGACATATCGGTGCAGGAGAGGTTAAGTACAGGAGAGATGTCACAAAAAAAGTGATTGATGACTCCAGGACCACAGAAGCTGAGTCTAGAGATAAAGGTAACCTTGACTAAAGAGATAGAAAAGCCACACACCCAGGAGAGCAAACCTAGCTGGAAGCACAATCGATGGGTCATGATGACTGGATAACGAAGTGGGTTACATATGGCTACATAGCGGTCATACGCCATGACAGCCAGGAGGACACATTCAGTACACATAAGGGAGATGAAGAAGTAAAGCTGTGCCATGCAACTCTGGAAGGAGATTGTTTTGCTCTGTGACCAGAAGTCTACCAGCAGTTTGGGAAGTGTGACACTGATATACCAGATTTCCAAGAAAGACAGGTTTCCCAAGAAGAAATACATTGGCTTGTGAAGGTTTTGGTTACCTTTAACTGCTGAGATAATGATGAGATTCTCCAGGACTGTTAGTATGTAAGTGAGGGAGAAGAGCACAAAAAGAAAAAGCTGGATCTCAAATCCAGTGGGGAAGCCCAGGAGGATGAATTCAGAGATGATTGTTTGATTCTCCATTGCCAGATAGTCCTTATCTGTATATATATATCAGTGACAGGATTCTATACCTGCAGAACACAATTGGAAAATTTTGTAATGTAAAAATACGAAATAACTAAAATTAAAGGAGGATATTGACAAATCCCATGCCTTTAAATCAGCCTAAAAATACCAAATTTGGGATGGAATGTGCCCATACATTTAGATTCAAATAACAAGATTTAACAATTCGATAGCAACATGATTTTCCAAAACATACACGTTACTGAGTTTCAACAGTCAATACAAGAAATCCAAAGCTAGCACACCCCTGAGAGATGAATTGTCAGACTACTACTTTAAGACCTCTGGCGAGCCCCCACTCCAGGTAACTGGTTCCATTGCTGAGCTGCTGTTATCATTAGGAAGTTTCTCCTAAATGTCAACTGAAATCCACCCTCTTGTTAATTTCAGTCCATTTCATTTATTCTTGCCCTCAGGAGCTGAAAAGAGCACTTCCTTGTCCTCTCCCATGTTCAACCCTTCCAATTCACCAAGAGTGGAGATATATGTCCTGCATTTCAAGCTTAATTTATCTAGTTCCTCAAAGCTTTTTGGTTTTCCTTAAGCTGCAAAGCAAATCCCTGCATACCTGCTTTGGTAGCCAGTATGTCTGAAACACACAATACTGTTGTTATTATTTTATTTATTGCGTCCCTGATGTATGTCCATGCATATACCCCACACTGATCCTACATCCAGCTCCCACAGCCTGTGCTCTCAGTGCTGTAACCAGGTTTCTTCTAGCATGCTTTCCCCAAACTCAGCCTACATAACTTGCTTGACTGAGGAACTAGGGTTATAAACATACAAAAACTGTTACTTGATAACAAGCACCATTAAACATGAAGGGTCTTAGTTTTTATTAGCTGTTTTCCTGTGTGAGACTTTTTTACCTTTGTTTTAATTGCCATATATCAAAGGAATCACTGATCAGATGGGAAAACTTATGAAAAAACACAACCTACAAATAGTATTCAGACCCACCAGAAAAATACAACAGATGTTACGATTGGCAAAAGACAGAAGAAACCTCCTCACTTCTGCCAGAGTATACCGCATACCATGCAGTTGCAGACAAGTTTACATTGGGACCACACAGTGTAGCATTCAGACAAGAATAAAAGAACATGAAAGACACTGCAGACTTGGCCAACCCAAAAAATCAGCAGTGGCTGAATGTCGCCTAATCCAAACAGGGCACAGTATTTTGTTCCAAGACACTGAAAGGCTGGACAACACATCCAATTACCATGTAAGATTACACAGGGAAGCCATTGAAATTCATAAATTTAAACACAATTTATACAGGAAAGAAGAGAGTTTAAAAATAAATAGGGCATGGTTCCCTGTTCTGAAAAACACAAAAGGTTCTACAACTGACAATAGCACTGCAGATAAGATTAGAATTTCAACAGCCAAATAACCTCCTCAGGAAACAGGAAACCTCCTCAGGAAAGCTCCTCCATTAGCATTTTTCACAGCCTGGGGAACTCCTACATGAGAATGATTCAGCCCTACACTACCTATAAATTACCTGCCTACCATTTTTCTTCTCAACTTGACACAGAGAGTACTCTGTCTTTCTGTGTTATACCTCTGAGCAGGGCTATTTTTGGGCAGGAACGCACAGGAAC